AAGGGCGAGGAATCTTCCTCTGTCACGCTCTTTTATCTGAACTGCGACCAGAAGGTGCCAGGCACAATCAGGGCTATTGTATGATGTTAAGCTCTTTTGACTCTTTTGGGGGGGAGGGGGGCAGCTCTCAAATAAATCACACACAGAGGCTTATTTTCAGTTATGAATGCCTGGCCTTAGCCTGGTTTGTTTCTTTCCAGTTTTTCTTAACCTAAATTATCCTGACTACCTTTTGCCTCTGGACTTTTATCTTTCTCTATGTCTGTATATCTTTCTTTACTTTTTCCCCATGACTTTGCTGTGTAGCTGGTTGGTTGGCCCCTGATGTCCTCCTCTCCTTGTTCTCTTGCTCCTCTTCTTCCTCAGGTCTCCTTCTATTTATACTTTCTGCCTGCCAGCCCTGCCTATCCTTGCTTCTGCCTCACTATTGGCCATGTGGCTCTTTATTAGGACCAGCAGGTGTGTTAGACAGGCACAGTAACACAGCTTCACAGAGTTAAACAAATTCAAGATAAACAAAAGTCACACACCTCAAAATAGTATTCCCCAACACAGGTCACATCAATTAAGGCAATTGGTACAACTCTTCTGGTAAGCCTCTCTACTTTGGTGATTCTTCAGTGGCAAGTTGACATTAAAACCAACCATATTACTTGGTCATATGGTAAATCTGTTGCTACTTTGTTGTTGTTCTTTGGGACAGGGTTTCTCTGTGTAGCCCTGACTGTCCTAGAACTTGCTTTGTAGACTAGGCTGGCCTTAAACTCACAAAGATCCACCTGCTCCAGCCTCTCAACGACTGGAATTAAAGGCATGCACCACCATGCTTGTCTTCTGTTGCTAACTTTTTGAGGAACTAGCAAATTAATTTCCATAGAAGCCACACCATATTACGTTTCCACTAGCAACGTGTGGGTGTTTTGGTTTGTCTGTTTCTGCAACAATACTTGTTACTTTCTGAGTTTATTTTGTTTTGTTTTTGAGACAAGTTCCTACCTTGTAGCCCTGGCTGGCTTGGAGCTCACAGAGACCTGTCTGCCTCTGCCTCCCTAGCCCTGGGATTAAAAGCATGTGCCACTGTACAACAGGGCTCTCCGAATTTTTTTTTTTTAATGATGACCAAGAAGTAAGGGTGACACATCCTCTCATTGTGGTTTTGGCCTAAACTTCCTTAGTGACTTATGTGGCTGAGTATCTTTCCATGTGAAGTGTTGGCCATTTGTATATAGTCTCTGGAGAAATATCTACTTAATGGTTTTGCCCATTTAAAATTTGAGTTGTTTGTCCTTTTGTCACTGAGTTGTAGTTTACGGCTTTTATTCATATGTGTGTGTGTGTGTGTGTATCTGTTCATTCTGCATACAGCCTTGTTCAGCATGTGATTTGGCAAGTATTGTCTTCTGTTCCCCACGTCACCTTTTCATTCCCTTGATATTGTCCTTTAGTGTCCCAAAATGTTCAGTTTTGGCGAAGTCCAGTTTATCTAATTTTACTTAGATTGCCTGTGTTTTGAGTGATAGGGCTAAGATAGGGCCGTTTTTTAGTTTGGTAATGAACATTACCCTGAACTCTATTATTTTATTTTATGTATGAGTACTCTGCATGTATACCTGCAGGCCAGAAGATGTCATCAGATTCTCTTACAGATGGTTGTGAGTCACCATGTGGGTGCTGGGAATTGAATTTCAGACCTCTAGAAGAGCAGCCAGTGCTCTTAACCCCTGAGCCATCTCTCCAGCCGCCCCCCTCCACCGACTTTATTCTAAGAGTTTTATCATTTGCCTTTGATTTGTTTCATCTCTGGCTAATTTTTGCTTATGGTGACAAGAGTGGACATTTGTTCTTGGAGCCACAGATACCCAGTTTGCTCTGTAGATTTGTTGAAAGAAATACTCTTTCCCCCACTGAATACTCTTGCCACTCTCGTGAGGGTTTACTTCTCAATTCCTGTTTTTTTCTACTGATCTGCGTCTACTCTTAGTCCAGTGCCATACAGCTTTGGTTCCAATATGTTTGTAATAAGTTCTGAAATTGAGACGTGTGACTCCTCCAACTTAGTTCTTCTTTTCAAAGTGTTTAATTATTTTATGTCACTTAAAATTCTACATGAATTTCAGTCAGCCTTTCTATTTGAGCAGGAAAATGACTATTAGACCTTGGGTAGGAATTTCATTGATACATAATTTGCCATCTTGACAATATGATTGTCTTACAGTGAAATCTTTCCAGTAAGTCTTCTGAACATCAGGGCAGCTTCATGATTCAGTTTGTAAGTCCTGCATTTCCTTGGTTACATTTATTTCATGAAGGAGGAGGCAGCCATGATCTAGGAGGATGGGCTTCTTGTCTGGCCACGGAACGAGCTGTACCTTTACACACAAGCCCCAGCTCACACTGAGGCTGTTCCCTTTCGCTCCATCTTTGTTGAAATTTTTAAAAATATCGAATGCACGTTGGATTTTGTCAAGGATTCTTTCTCTGCAGCCCTGGAGATGCTCAGGTGGGGTTGTGTGTTCCATCAATGTGCTACCCTGAGTTCTCACATTCTGAGTGAGTTTGGGATTCCCACGCAAATTCACCTTAGCCATGGCGTGTCTTGTGCGGTGTGTAGCTGGCATAGCTCCAATAACATTCGTTATTGGATTTGATTTGCTAGTATTTTCTGCATATACAGTGCATATGTACATTTGCCCCCCCCCCTCTTGTTTTTTTTTCTTTTTCATTTTTGAGATAGGGTCTCATTATATAGCTCAGGCTGGCCGTGGGATTGTGATGATCCTCCTGCTTCTCCCTGCTGAGTTCTGGCATCATAGGCATGAACCTCCACACTTAACTTGCAGCTTTGCTTTCTTGCCATTTTTTGGCTAGCCCTTTCCTGAGAAAAGCATATTGCTACATAAATGCACTTGTGCATATAAAGGAACAATGACCGTTTTCTTGGGTCAGTGTTACATTGAGATTATTTTCAGTTTCAGGGTATAAGTTTATAACTACGGTACTTAGAGATAAGACAGAAAATCATAAAAGAATAAACTAAAACACACAAAATGGATTGCCTTTGAAAAGTGAGGATGTCCCAGGGAGGTGACTCAATGGGTAAAGAGGATCTGACTTCAGATCCCCTGCACCCATATAAAAGCCAGGCCGGGTGTCACATTCCTATAATCTCAGCATTGGAGAAGCAAAGACAGGAGGATCCCTGGGGCTTTCTGGTCAGTTAGTCTAGCCAACAAGGTGAAGAGGCACTGGGGCAGACTCCTAGAATTGACCTCTGACCTCCCCTCACACCGTACCCGCACCCATGTGTACAAACATGAACACAGACACATATATATCACACAGACAAAAAGAAGGACAAGAGAATGCTCTTTTTAAATAGAAGAACGTTTAGATGCCTTGTTAAAAAAAAAAAATCACAAAAAGGTCTACACCCTTATCGCCTTGGAGGCTGTGAGTCCGTGAACAAGCTTAAAGGTATTTGACCTCTCTGAGCTTGGGTTCTCCAGCTGCAGAATGAGAGTAGTAACAGTCCTTATCACTGGGGATTTAGAAACCCGCAGACCCTGGCTCTCCTGTGTTCTCTATCAGCACAGAAGACTTCTGCGACCAAATGTGTGTGGTGGGAGTGGACTACGTCACATGCCAAACAAACTACCCCTTCTCAGCTTGTCTTTTAAGTCTCCTCGGTGCTGCCACCGTCTGCTTGGAGAGTGCTCAGATCTAGACTTAGGGACTCAGTCTCCACTTTACCCCACTCCTTGACTAGAGGCACCACGACCTCCTCCATGGATTTCTTTAATTCACTAGAGCAGCTCACAGAAAAGTCTGGGAAACATGTTTACTGATTTGTTATACAAGATATGACAAAGAACTAGAGACTCTGTCCCCCAGACAGAGATCTGGAGTAAGGGGCCATGCCCTCCTTTAGGAACCTCTATTTTAACCAGAAACTTCTGGTTTCCCTTAGTCTTTCAGGTAACCAGACTCTATCTTAAGCTGTCTGAGGGCTGTCAGCTGCTAGTCAACTCAATGGTTCATAAAATGTACAGTCTTGATGCTCACAAAGATGTTAGGGATTGAGCGTCAGCAAATATGAGTTCATGATATCCTAGATAATCAGGACAAATTTCAGCAAATCAGGGTCTGACCACTTGACCTAGAATTTGAATAGAAAAGGCGACAGTTGAAGGCAGTGAAGGAATTTAAGCAACTGTGGGCCTGTCTTCTGGGAAAGGGTCCAGGTTTAAATACAAGAAGACCTGGTGTGGGGGAAAGAGGTCCTGCTAATGGCACTGTGCTGTCGGGTTGACAGTGTCTCTGTTTGCATTCTACCAATCGGCCCCCGAGGGGTCTTTCTTGGCTTACTAGCTTCAGTGGACAACTTGGTTCCTACTTAGGAACAGCCTCATTTCTTCTCACTACCACTAAGCGAGGACAATCTCATCATGGGGTCATCTGTCTGCAGGGCTTGCTGTTTCTAGAACCCAGGTTGACTTTGGTTTAGGACAAGTGATGGAAACTTCCAGTCACTTCTGTAGAGGCTGGATACCATAGAAACCCAGTTCCTCAGTGGCCCTTATCTTGATGCCTTCAACCTGGAAGGCAAATGAGAAAGGCGAGAAGAATTTAGAGCCTAGCATGTCTCAGGCAGACTCACGGGGCTTCTGGGAGACTCCTATCTGTGCTCACTGACCGTTGCACTGGAGCATGATTCTTCTCCCGAGTTTTCTTAGAGGTGGCTTCTTAAGTCCCTCAGACTTAAACATTTCCCTGCAGGATCCGTTCAGTTCTGCTACAGATTCTGCCTCCTTCTACCTCTCCCTCAGGAGTGATGCTTTGTGTTTTTTTTTTTTTTTGAGACCCGATATTTCCAAACTCTATAGTTCCCTTTCAGCCTAGCTTCATAAAAAAAAAAAAGAAAGAAAAAAGGGGAAGAGGACCAGGCCAACGAGGAGGAAGAAAAGGAAAACAAGACTGACAGCCAGTGCAGCAGACAAGAGTGTGTTCAGCTGTCCTCATCCTCACAGAACTAGCAGCTAGGAGCCCTGCGCTCAGCCGACCCTCCAACCTGCATCAGCCTACGCTGCCCCCGGGGAGACTATGGAGCTGGGGGCTCCATTGGTCCTGCTGCTGGCCACAGTTTGGCATGGTAAGAGCAGAAAAGGGGGTGTTCGTGAGGGTGTTACAGAGAGGGCCCGCAAAAGGACCCTGAGCGTCGCCGCCCCACACGAGCAGCCCCCACTCTCTGCTTCCGTCTGCTCTAGCACCGGAGCGCATGTTTGTTTTTATCTGGAGAGAAAAGAAGGTGAGAGTGGAGTGGAACCAGTCTGGCCAGGGCTGTGAGGGAGGCAAGTGTAGCCTTTGGCTCACAGTGTATCTTCAGTGTGTCCCTGCTACTTTGGAAGCCGCTAGCCACACTCCTCATTGGCAGGTGGGAAAGTGGGCATGGGTGAAACTCAGGGCAAAGCTTTCGGATGTTTCCTGTGCCTGCAGGAAATTACCTGGGAAACTCCTTCAAGGCAGATGCTGAGAGGTCTTGGGCACGACTGACACTTGCATATCTGAGAGAATCTTAGGAGTCCCCCACTGCTCAGTGGCTTCTGCAGTTCTTCCTTGAGTGATCCCACCAGCTGGACAGCCCAGGTAGCCATGGTTAGGCAGGACTCGGTTCAGAAAGGCCCTTTCTTGGACAGCTTGGGTAAAGGGGCCAGGGTGGAAGAGAAGAGGTTGGTCTTTCTGGCCCAGGGTTTGAGGGTGGGGAGTTCGGAGGAGGTTGGAAGAGAACACACGTGAACTTGTTATTGAGTAAACAAGCAAGAATGTTAGAGGGGGACCAGGGAAGCCAGAGAGGGTCTCCCCAGCCATTGTCTTCCTAGATGCCCCCCCCCTCAACTTCTTGGACAGCAGAAGCTGCTTCGAAACTATCATCTCGGAAGGTGTCAGGCTAAGGGTGAGGACTGGCATACATGGCCCAGAGTGGCCCGGCGAGCTCGTCTAGCACAAATGTTGTATTTTATGACACCTACTTATTTGGAGAAAGGATGGAACTTGGTGGGGAAGGACAGGCTCACTCCGGTCCCTAGGGAATTGGTGCTGCTGGTGATACAACAGTCCACTGAAGATTCTTTGCTGGCTCAGCCAGTCTCACTGTCTCGTGTCCTGGCACTTTCCTATTAGAATGTGAGTGGTAAATGTTAGGAAACGCACATTCTTGAGAATAAGACCTTCTCACCCCAGAAAGTCCTGTGGATTTGAGTCACTGCTCCTTCAGGCTTTATCTCTAGGACTGCTTATGTGCACTGCGTGTGTGTGTGTCCCAGTTCAATGTCCAGCTCCAGGAGGAAGAGAAGGTGAGAGACATCGGTGGGAAACCTAAGTTTTTAGCCTAACAGGTTACTGGTGATTGAGACCATGGGGGCTTCTAAAGGGATAGGAATAGTGTTGAAGCACTTAGAGGGAGAAAGAGACTGGCCTCTCCTCTTTGGCTGGTGGTCATGAGGGCAGAAGGTTGTGGGGGTGCCGGCTGGAGCTGCTGGTGAGAGTCTAGTATGTAGGTACAAAAAGGAGGAGGTTTGGGTCAGGGGAAGAATTTGAGGGGGGACGTGTGAGATAGAAGAAGGGATAGGCACAGGGTCAGTGGCCATCAAGCGCTCATCCAAGGGAAGGGAGAGATGATGAGTGGGCTTCCCTTCCTGCCAACCATGCCCGCGGGAAGTGAGAAAGCCGTGCGGTGGATGTGGAGTGTGTCAACCCTGTTCTGCGTAAATATCCAGGAAAACGGGCTAGGAAGAAGTAAGACAGAAGCCTCCAGAGTACATCTGGAGGTCAAGACAGGAGACCAAGATAAGGGGAGCAGAGTAGCTCTGGGGAGGGAAAGGGAAAAGCGACCAAACCAACGGGGAGATAAGCCAGGAGCAGGGGCTTAGAACCCAAGGTCGAATCCTGTGACCTTAAGGGTTAAACTCTTAAGTTACTATCTGGCAGGTTCAAGGACTCCCCCTGGGCTCTGCTGTTTTCCAGGTGAACACTGGGATTGGTTCTATCAGACAGAAGAGAGTCCGAAGCCCCGAGGGTCAGCAACTTCCCCATCTGGAAAGGACAGTCAGGGTCCCTAGCCCTAGTCAGCATGAGCCCAGGCCAGGGTGAAATAGCTCGTCCCTCTTCCTGCTAGTCATACTGCACAGGAAAGCCACAAATCTACATCAGCAGTGGCAGTGTTCTTTCTTCTACATCTGGCTGATCGGAAGCTCGGGCAGATAAAGGCTGCATGTTTCTCCATGGGTTTGAAATCAGAGCAGACGTTAAACCAGGCTATGAAATCATTTGCGTGGAGAGACTTTCCTTTTATGGGCTCACACTTGGGTGTGGGGAGGGTACCCTGAGGAGTGGTTTTAGGAACCACTGGAATACTCTGAGGGCCTGGTGTCCTTGGGGCTGCCATGTCACTGTGTCGATATCAACAGCTGGAGTTGGAGGGGTTAACTTGCGGCGGTCAGCAAACAGGACAGTGACACAGACACTCTTTGCACAGAGTGTTCTGAGACCCAGCACACTGTCCCCCGACTCCAGGACTCCCTCATTGTGTGGAGAGGAGCAATGGCCAGGAGGGCAGGGAAGCAGAAGTGAGAGCGCCAGTCTAGAAGGGGCCATAGGCTGGGCGGAAACCGGGGCCAGCCTGGTGCCAGCAATGTGTTTCCGCCCACACAGGCCCAGAGTGCCTGCCGGCCCCTCAGAGGCTGTGAATCAGTTCTCACTTCCCTCCTTCACCCCTATTTCAGGCCTGGGAAAATTGCTGACACTACAGAGGCAGCTAGCCTCCTTCCTTAAGACCTGACAAGGGTTTTAAGTTCTCCTTTGTCCTTCAAGCAAATTTTCCTTAAAAAGAGATTGGCTACCAAGAAACCCGGCAGGTCCGGAGAAATGAGAACAGAGTGGGCACCTCAGCAGTTTCATTCATAGACATGACAATCAGAGTCTTTACTTGGCAACAGTTGATGCTGCCAAGACTTCCCGGCATCTGGACGACCTTGCTGGAAAGGTGTGATCACTGTCTGCATTTGTAGGCGAGGGGACAAAGTGAGGAGGATGGATGGCCTCAGGTCACCCCACAAGGCATGGGCCTGATGTGCAGTGGTAGGACAGGGCACAGCAGGAGACACGTGGAGCTTCTCTCTACTGGGCTAAGAACTCACATCTTCTCTTCTTTCCCAAGTGAGGGAAGTCAGGACTTGGCCATCTGTTTCTCCATTTGCTTCTTTGAAACTTGTCGCGCTTAAACGGGGCCCTGGGCTTGGCTCTGCAGTCACAGCTTGCTTTGTACATGGGATTGATGAGGTCCTGTCCTGGGGTGGGAAGTGATGCAGAAGGCTGGGTCCCCATGGCTCTATGGGAAAGTCTACACCAGGATCTATCGTTGTACTGAGCTGGACGATCCCCTGGGGGGGCAGTACCACCATCCACTTGAGGTGGCTCCCTGAGCAGATGTCCACAGATTTGGGAGCTGAATGAGGGTTAGGTGATAAAGACTCCACAGTACCAGAACTCTCGCTGCCAGAGCATGGTCCAGCTCAACTGGAGGGGTAGCAGGGCTACACCCCAGGCCTCACTTCTGTCTGCACCCTCCTTTAGGTCATGGGGCCCCTGTCATCGAGCCCAGTGGCCCAGTGTTGGTTGTAGAGCCTGGCGCAACGGTGACGCTAAGATGTATGGGCAACGGCAGTGTGGAATGGGACGGCCCCATCTCTCCCTACTGGACCCTGGACCCTGAATCTCCCGGAAGCATCCTGACCACAAGAAATGCCACCTTCAAAAACACGGGGATCTATCGTTGTACTGAGCTGGACGATCCCCTGGGGGGCAGTACTACCATCCACTTGTATGTCAAAGGTGAGGATACCAAATTCCCTGCATTGGGCAGGAGGGTTAGCTCCTGGCATTGGCATGCATAGTAAGCCAGATCTGAGTTTGTGAGTTTGAGCATTGGCCATGAACAAACTTTATCCAGTGTTTACAATTTAGGGCAGGCCTCACAATAACCCTATGCAGTAGATGCTATGACTACCTCCATTTTCCAGGGGCTCACAGGGGTTGATTTTTTTTTTTTTTTTTTTTTTTTGTCTGAGATCATACGGCAGCAAGTGCCCAAGGGTACAGAAGCCAACCTGAAACACCCTCTGTATGGTTCTTCTCCAGGACTACTTTGAGCAAATGCTCAAGCTTCTGCTCCCTGTCACTAATGTTCGTTGTCACCTTGAATCCTCTTCTCAGATCCAGTCCGGCCCTGGAATTCGCTAGCACAGAAGGTGACAGCGATTGAGGGCCAGGAAGCTGTGTTGCCCTGCCTGATCACCGACCCCGCACTGCAGTCCCATGTCTCTCTAGTGCGAGCCAGGGGCAAGCCGGTCTCACGCAGAACAACCTACTCCTTCTCCCCGTGGCAAGGGTTCATCATCCACAAGGTGAAGTTTATTGACAGCGATTACTATCAGTGCAAAGCTATGGTGAATGGTAAGGAATCCCTCTCCGTCAGCATCCAACTTAAAGTGGAAAAAGGTATGTAGGATGAAAAAAGCCTGCCCGGGCATGGAGGCGGGAAGGAGAGCTGGCAGCCATGGGTGTGGGGAGGACAGAGAGAATCCTCTCTCTTCTTTCAATCACTCATTTCTCTCCAGGGCAAGTGGGGTGAGGTGTGTTGGGTGGGACTCTGACCATGAGACCAACTGTGATGAACTAACCAGGGTAACTGATCCCATGGTGTCGGGCACAGTGCCAGCAAGTCTAGGTGTTCACGGGTTGTATTTCTGGCCTCAGTCCCCTCAGGGCCCCCATATGTGCAATTGGAGCCTACGGAGCTGGTGCGGATTCGCGGGGAGGCTGCCAAGATTGTGTGCTCTGCCACTAACATGGAGCCCGAATTTAATGTTTTTCTCAAACGTGGAGACACCAAGGTCAGTCCCCAGGGAAAGGAGACGACATGGTGAAGTCTGCCCATCTTGTCAGCACTGAGAGGCATCCTCACCTCAAACTGGTTTTCTGGGCTGGAGACATGGCTGTGGCCCAGAGGACAGAGAAGAGGGGCCTGAGACCCTGTGCCAGCAGCAGCTGCTCAGGCTGCTAGGTCTTGGGGATGGAGGTGGCAATCCAGACCCTTTCAGGGATTCCTCTATCCCTTTGCTACAGCTTAGAGAACACTTCCTTCCGACATAATGAGGTTTCCTGTCTCCCTTAGAAGCACGAGCTATGTTGGCTATTTCAGAAAGGCTTTAGTAAGAGGGAAGGTGAGGATCCCCAGGGAGGAACAGGGAAAGGCTGCCTTCTAGATTCCTCACCCCATGCGCATCCTGTGTGAGGTGCATCCCCAAGCCCTTGCTCTGTGAGTCTATGCACTCTCATTTTAACCCAGGGGTAGGGGACCAGTATTCATCCCATTTTATAGATGAAGGATTTAAGCCTCAGCGTTTAGACCCTTGCCGAGTACAGGCCGATCATCATTTTAAAGGTGGAGGATTTGTATTCAGATCCTAAACAATTTTGGTACGTCACCTCTATTCCTTCTATCTACAGCTTGAAATCCCCATAAGCGGCGACTTCCAAAATGACCGTTATAAAAAAGTCCAGACCCTCAGCCTCAATGCCGTGGACTTCCAAGATGCTGGCAAATACTCCTGTGTGGCCAGCAATGATTTCGGCACACACACATCCTCCATGATCTTCCAGGTGGTGGGTGAGCATCAGGTAGTGGGAGAAGCCCATGGCTGTTGGGAGATAGGATGGCTTGGTCCTGGAGCCCCATCTTAGGAGACATCCTAGACCCTCCACTTCCTCCAAGCCCTTGGAGAAGTGGGTGGTGCTTCACTGTAACATGGTCTGGTCTGGGTTGGAATTGGAGCCCAGCAAAGCAGCTCCCTACAGCAGATCATGCTGGCTTCCTCGTTCCTGAGAGCGGGGGGGATATTTGTGTCACGTGGACACACGAACATTATATCTCTAAACACCAATGCTCCCTCTTACTGGGGCTTACAAGCTGGGGCAGGAGGCGTGAGAGTGGAGTTGTTGGGCCTCAATGAGAAAGGAAGGGAACGGGATGTCTTGAAGAAGGAGCAGCATGTACAAGCCCCAAGGGAAAAGAGCCCAAGCATCTCTGAGATACCAAAAGCAGCCGAGAATATCAGAGATGTGAGTGGGGTGTGAGTAATGGCTCTGGGGGAGGGGAGATGAGGCAGGAGCCAGGTAGCAAAGGAGCCTTAGCAGAGTGTGAGGAGAATTTGCATCCCGCCCTTTTGAGAGGTCTTGAAGTTTATAAAGCAGGGAGCTGAGGTCCAGAGGGGACTGGGAGTCAGGAGCACCCACTCCTGGGTGTCATCAAACCTGGCTCTGCCAAATAGTATGTCTACCAATTCCTTTCCCTGAAAGAAAATGAGGAGGTCAGTAGTAAATGACTGTATTTAGACAACCTAGAAGAAGCCCTGGTCAGATCCGCACTGCTGGAGCATGCGAGCAAATACCACAGTAGAAAACTCGCCCTGGCGGTGGGGAGAGGGGAGCTGGGAGCAGCCACAAGAGTGGATGTAGGAAGCTACAGAAGGTGGTGAGGACGCCAACCATGGGAATGAGGAAGGATGGATTGCCTGGCGATTGAGAGGGAAGCAGTGCACTCCACAGACAGAGAACCCCACAACAAGGCAGTTCTACAGTGTGCGAAGGGGTTCTGAGTGTGGTCTAGCAGTGTGGCCTGCTGAAGTGTTGAGAGTCAGAGAGGAGGAGAGGAGGGAAGCATGAATCACTGGCCTCAGAACACACACAGGGAACTCTTCAGAACTCTGCCAGGTAAAGGGAAGAGAGGCAGACTCACGCAATGTCAACCCTCTGCTAGGGCTCTAGCCAATCTGCCTCCCAGTTCGGGCATTCACTGGTCACTCAGTAAATGCAAGAAATGCATACTTGAACTGGAGAGATGGCTCAGCGGTTAGGAGCACTGGCTGCTCTTCCAGAGGACCTGGGTTCAATTCCCAGCGCCCACATGGCAGCTCACAACTGTCTATTACCACAGTTCCAGGGGCTCAAGCGCCCTCACACAGACATACATGCAGGCAAAACACCAATGCACATAAAATAAAAATAAATTTTAAAAAAGAAAGGAAAAAAGAAATGCATACTATTTCAGCTTTTGGCCAGGTCTGTATTCAGGCTTGAGGGTGGCAGGGCAGAGGGCAAGCTCAGACACTTTGGGTGAGAGAGCTCCGGTTCATGGAGCAGCTGTTGTGCCATTCAGATGGGTCTGCATGCCATATTCAAGGAAATGAGTTTACCAGTAGGGCTGGGGTGGTGTGAACAAGAGGTACCACATGAAGTCAGAGAGGTAAGCTGGGCAGGTAGTTGGTCCAATGGCCCTGAGATCTCATGTATGGGACCTAGGCCTCTTTTTTCTTGGAGGAGGTGAGAAACAGAAGGTTTGAGCAAAAGCAGCATCGTGATCAGACTTGGATGTAGTAGATTAGCACAGGGCTTTCTGGTGCTCTGTGGAGGAGCGTCTATGGGGAGAGAAAGAGGAGGAAGTAAGTTAGGAGACTATCCCAGTGGTCCAAGCTCAAGTGGTCCAAGGTGATAAGTCCAGACTCGAGTGATAGTGGGGGTGGCTGGAAGGGTCTGGACAACTGAGTGGATCAATAGTAGGAATACAGGTGACTGAGGTGAGTTCTGGCTGGGGCTGGGAACTGTGAGCTTGGAGCAGAGATGCGCTCAGACCCTCAGATCAGGTCAAGGGGTAGAGGGTCCAGTGGACAGAAAGAGGGGGCCATCTCCCCACTAACCCCAGATCTTCTGTGTTGATTTCCAGAGAGCGCCTATTTAAACCTGACCTCCGAGCAAAGCCTCTTCCAGGAGGTACCTGTGGGTGAGAGCCTCGCCCTCACAGTCAATGTAGACGCCTACCCTGGCCTCCAGAGTTATAACTGGACTTACCTGGGGCCATTCTTTGGAGATCAGCACAGCCTTGATTTTATCACCCAAAGGACCACCACATACAGGTACTGCCTGTCAGACCACGGACAATGTGTGTGAGTGTGTGTGTGTGTGTGTGTCGGGGGTTCCGCCAGAAATGAGGATGCTTGGGTCCTGTCCCATCTGTGCTGCCCCACCGTGGGTAGATCCCCTTCCTCTTCTTTATCTCATTTCCCTGACTATGAGAGTATCAGTCCTCTATGTCATTTGTCCTAGTCCCTGCCCTGTGTCTCTGGGTCACCCCGTGAGTTTCTATACTGTCTCCCAGGAGCTGCTCTACTGTTTGGAGGTACATGTTCTCAAGGTCCCTTGGGACCTCTTAGCTTCACCTCCTGTCCTTTCTATGGCCAGTGCAAATGTAGGAGGTGACTGTGACTTCCACCCCAAGATGTGTTTGAGATAACAACCATGCAAAGCACCTACCTTGTTCACATGGGGTCGGGGCAGAGGGACACGATCGTGCATTTGCTAAAAGATTAACCATCCTGAAAATCTCCTCTCAGTATATTCTCCCCAGGCTCTGGGATATTTTCGGGGTGTGTGTTCCCCCCACTGCCACTCTGCTGGCACTGTTCTACTCCTAAATCTTGGGTTGGTCATGTGTCCACCGATGTAAAGGGATACTGCCTGTCTCGGAATGAAGTGTGACTGTGAAGGTCTTACTCTCCTGACCTAGGGCCTGAAGTTTGCTAGCTGAGCACTCCACCGCAGAGTCCAACCCCAACCTGAGACACCTTTTCCAGAAGTGAACTTTAGTCCAGCAGTGATGGTAGATTTTGTCCAAGCAAGGATTGGTACTTTGCTGGCATTAGCACCGGAGAGATGGCTCAGGGGTTAAAGGGCACTTGCTGCTCTTGCAGAGGACCCAGGTTCCGTTTCTAGCATCCATAAGCATTAACTGTCTGTAACTCAAGTTCCAACAGATCTGTGGGACTCTTCTCGCCTCTGTGGGCAGCAGACACACATGTGGTAAACACACAGACAAGCAGGCAAGACACTTATACACATAAAATATAAAAATATACCTTTAAACTGCATTTTAAATATTCATTTTATTTAATGTGTATATTTTGCTTGTATGTATATCTGTACACCACTTGTGTACCTTGTGCCTGCAGAGGTCAGAAGGGGGTGCCAAATCCTCTAGCACTGGAGTTATAGATGGTTGCGAGTCACCGTGTCTGTGCTGGGAACCAAACCCTGGGTCCTCTGCAAGAGCACAGTGCTCTAAACCAGTGAGTCAGCTCTCCAGCCCTGTTTAAAAACATGTTCATTACCTAAACAGTGCTGCCTTCGTTAGCTGGACGTTCATTAGCAGATGTCTATTATCTCAGGGCTTGAGCAACAGAGGCAGAGGAATTGGGGATTCAAGGCCAGCTCTAGAGGCAGCACAGGAAGTTAGAGAGGCCAGCCTGGGCTATATCAGATCCTGTCTCAAATCACAACAGCAAGTACACTCATAATGGATAAACAATCCATTAGAGACTAAGAAAATTACCTGGAAACAACCAAAGGTGACTTTTTTGCTTTAGCGTTGTTTTTAGACTTTTCTATAGTAAAGAGAACCATTAAATTAAGTGCCTATTATGAGTGTTCAGCATTCTAAATGCACATCCCTTCAACCCTCAAGCCAATCCGGTGAATTAAACCAAACCAAACAAAAACCCTGAATCACCCTGAGTTAAGAAGACCACAGCAGTTGAATGTCTATGTAAAGTCACACAGCCAAAAATGATAACGGTGGAATTTGGTCTCTGGTTTCTGTAGCTACACGGCTCAGAACCAGTCCTGTCTCTTGTCCCTGTCACCATCCCCAGGACCCAGTAGCACATTAGGGATGCTCAGTAGGGGTTGTGGTGCTTGTGAACACTTAGTTCAGTGGTAAGAAGGAAGAAACTTGTGATATACCTCCCAGGACCTTGCGGACATCATCTCTAATAAACCTTTGGGGAAAACACAGAATACCCTGAGATGAGAGGACAGACAAGGACCAGCGGTAGGTGGTTTCTCTTGTCTCAGTGGCACACTCCTCAAGGCCTGGCTCAGACAAGACCTCTGGGCCCTGAAACTTTAACAAAAAATGGTGCGCTTTACGTCACAGGACACCAGTTTATAACAGTAGTGTCTCTCGGGTGTCTTGCAGCTACACATCCACGCTCATCCTGAACCGTGTAAAGCCCCTGGAGGCTGGCCAATACTCCTTCACGGTCCATAACAAGGCAGGCTGGAACAATGTGACCTTTGAACTTACCCTGCAATGTGAGTGACAGGGAGGCTGCCCAGGGTTGGGTATACTGGGAGGGGTGAGGGTAGCAGGCTCAGGGCAGGTGGTCAAGAGACAGAGACCTCACCCCTAAGGCTGATCCTGCCTTCGTTCATCCTTCCCCTCTTCCTCAGATCTCCCAGAGGTCAGTGTTTCGTGGATCGCTGTGAATGACTCTAATGTCCTGCTCTGTCATGTCTCTGGGTTCCCTCAGCCCAAAGTGATGTGGATACAGTGCAGGGGTCACACTGACAGGTCAGTGGGCTTGACTCCCCTCCCTAGGCTGAGCATTCGGGTGAGGTACCCATGAGTGGGAAGGGCATGCTGATGTGGGAGACTCCAAAGCCCTGAGTCAAAATCTATTCTTTCCAGGTGTGATGAGGCCCAGGCCTTGCAGGTTTGGAGTGATGTTCCCTCCAAAGTCCTGAGTCAGGAGCCCTTCCACAAAGTGACCATTCAGAACCAGCTGCCCACTGGGGCCTTGAAACACAACACAAGTTATATTTGCAGGGCCCACAACGATGTGGGGAACAGCTCCCAGGCCTTCAGGGCGGTCTCTTCAGGTAATCCATCCTCCTCAGCCAGCATGGGCATCCAACATGTGGAGACTACTTGACCCCTCACCCCCAACCCAGGGATTTCTACTTGGAGGAGATCCCAGTCATCCTGAATTCCACCTCTGGGTCACCCTGGCTAGTCCTGAGCCACAGGACTCTGGACATGGTGATATGGAGAGGTCCAGCGTCCCTCACTGGGGACTGAAGAGGAAAGGGCAGGATCAGGGAGTGGGAAAAAAGAATGAGGCAGAGATACCCCAGATGGAGACTTATAGAGGACCGAGAGAGACTGAGAGATACTGAGAGACACCAGCAAGCTGGTCTACTAGTCTGGGCCTTTGGCTCCTTCTTGCATCCGAACTCACGTGAGGGAAAAAAGACTTGAGTGAAGAAATACAGTTCATCCCAAGTCCACGGCTAGAGGGATGCTTCCTCCCATCCTCTCCAGCTCCCCCTTGCTGTCTGCCCTGCCCGATCCTGAGACACAGTCCTCACTCAGGGCCACTGCCCAAGGGTTTGCCCAGTGCTGATTTGGAGTCTGCAGCTGGGCCTAGTCTCACTCAGAAGCCCACAGCCTCCCCGAGCCCCTAAACTGCTACTGTGCCGGGGCCTGGGTGACGCTTTCAATCCTTGGCTTCTGCTTGGCTCAGGGATCATGTCACTCGTCCTCCAGTCACTAACCTCGAGCAGCTGCTGACAGGCCCGTGGGCCCTGCTATCCGGGAATGCTGTGTCACTGCCGGTGGTGGCGGTTTTAAATAGTGAAGCCCCATGGTGACAAATGCTGGAACTGTACCAGGCTCGTTTCCACGACCCCTCACCCACTAGCAGCAAAGTCCCTCCTTCCTTCATTTTGGAAGGACAACACACCTGAAATGTTTAAAGGCGTCCCAGTTTGGTATCTCGCATCACCTAAGGGACCCAAGCTCCTAGCTGGACGTGGAAATGAACTGTGTCCTTCTGACCACATGAAGATTAGAGGTCAGGAAGGGGAGACCCGGGGGCCCTAAGCTGGCTCTGAGCTGCTAAAGTCACACAGAGCACCTGGAGGAAGCCACAGGAAACCCGAGGAGGATTTCCCTGCCAAGGCCTCTCTGCCCGCAGGTGCAAGCGATAAAGCCCCAACACTAGGATTTGCGTCCAAGTGGTAGCTGGCCACCGAGCCAGCCTGCTACAGAGAATTTTCACACTCTGGCAGAGGGATGGGACTGAATACAGTCTCTCCACTTGCCCACTCCTCTGCCCCCTCTTCCAGAAGAAATCAGAACGCAGCTCCCCGATGAGTACCTGTTCACTCCGGTGGTGGTAGCCTGTATGTCTGTCATGTCTCTACTGCTGCTACTGCTGCTGCTGCTCCTATACAAGTACAAGCAGGTGAGCTGGGCTGTGGAGCTGGGCCGGGCCCCCAAGGGAGCCAGAGGAGGAGGACCCCTGCTCATGCTCGCTCGTTCTGACAGGCTGTCACGCAACCAGGGCTGTTCATTAGGTGTCTACTGTGTGTCAACATGGGCTAGCACCAAGAAGTTCCTGGTGCAATAATCCTATGCTTGACCATTGGGGGTGGAGGTGGTGGGGAGGAGAAGGTATAAAAGAAGGTATAAAATTGCCTTTTAAGGTGCCTAGCTCTGCCCAGCTCTGCTGCTGGGACAGTGGGCAATGGGCATGTTCACATGTTCAAGTTCCTTTTTCTACCTGTAAATTGGGGTTCATGATGGCAGGTTATCACCAAGATCCTCTACCCTGTGTGTATAGAACCGGGGTGGGTTGTGAAAGAAAGACAGGACTTGGTGGTGGAGCCTGTGTTTCTGTGCAAGGAGGAAGTTGGCTGCAGACCCAGCTCCTGAACGTTGGGACAGGAGCGTGGCTAAAGTTGGCATCTCCTTGACCACACGCCAAAGTGGTTGCTGGGTGCTGCTCACCACACAGACATGGCTTAGTCACTGTCACGGCTACTGAGTCCTCGGAGATATACAAAATTCTTCCTTATTTTAACCTAAAAAACTTTCTCTGGTACCCCATGAGCCACGGGCTCCCTCAGGTCTTTCTGCCTTGGCTGTCGGGTGTCACCTGATGGGGGTCTAGAGCACCTCAGCTCATTCTCTCTGCAAGCACCATGCTTTGAGTATTTTGCTCCAAGTACCTTCTCATGTCCCATGCAGGATATTTAACTGCTTCTTAAGTAATCTAAGGCCAGGAGACCTGCAGCGCTAGGCTGCCTTCTTCCACACACCCTTTGGTGTCCCCTGGCTGAGGCACCCCTGAGGGTCAGGGCAGGAGGCGGTTCTCTTCTGCACAGATTCTGCCCAGGTGACTTGGCGCCACCTGTCTATCCCCGACCTGTCTGTCTGTCGCCCAGATCTGGGTGAGAAGGGGCCTGCCTGTGGAAGGGTGGCTTCTGCTCAGGGCTGAGTCATCACCTTCTGTCACCAAAAGAAACCACAACAGTCCGGGAAGAAACAGGGGAAGAGGAAAAAGCAGGAGTCAGCTGGCCCCAAGGACAGGGGCAAAGGAAGGGAGAGAGGTGGGCGCAGAGGAGGGGAGGGCAGAATCAGATGGAGGATTGGAGAGATGCTGGGACCAGGCCTAAATTGAGACAGGAGGGTCTGCGGAGCTTCCAGTGGGAAGTGTTCAGGTCTCTACCTTCCCCAGGCTCAATATCAGTCCCAAAGAGCCAGGAGCCTGATCAGGGGAGTGGCCAAGATTTGATGTTCCCAGACATCTCTTCAGTCAGAAGATAAAGGAGGACCGGGGCTTAGGGCTGGTATGAGCAATTGGTAAACTGGTTGATACGCAGTGAGAATTTAGGCAGGCCCAGCTTCCAGGAAAGGCTTAGGAAGCCCCTGCAGCTGGCCTTCCAGGCACCACTCCTGATAGGAGGAAACCTTGCAGGCCACTCACTTTTATAAGGATGGCCCCCAAGTCCCTGGGATAGCAGAAATCCCCGAGTTTGGCAGGGGGGCGGGGGTCCAGCACTAAAATCATAAATTCAGCCCTGGGAGCTTCCAGCCACACCTCCCTTCCCCCACCCTTCCCTCTACTCCCTTCATCCCTTCCAGCTAGGCCCTAGCGGAGGTGGGAGGGCTGAGTCAGCCCAGCTGCAGAAAAACAGGGAAGCAGAAGTGGCTTGGAGAAAAATAGTCGCAGCCACAGAGACTCCTAGAGATGCAGGATGCAAGGGGCAGGAGGGGTCTCTCAGCCCAAGGGAGTTTCCTCCCTAAATCTCCTTTCAGACTCTTTCCCCAAGCCATAATGTGCAGATGTTTTGTTGTTACTGGTGGAGTTTTGTGTTTGTTTGCTTGTTTTTATTTGTTATTGTTGTTTGTTTGTTTGAGGATTGGGTCTTTATATCTTTCAGGAAGGCCTCAAACTCCTTCCGTAGCTAAGGCTGGCCTTGAACACCCCCATCCTCCTGCTTCCATCTCCCAAGTGTTAGGTTTACAGCGTGTGCCATCGTGACCAGCCGAGTGTTCTTTATGTCTAACTTTTGTCTCAAACGTCCAACTGGAAACTCTTCCTCCTCCAACACTCACACATCTTTTAGTTCTTCTCACTGAAGCACCCAAGGCCTAGACTCTGTCCTCCCCACGGCCTAGTCCCTGTCCCAAAGGCCTGACTGGACATCAAGTTGGTCTGTTGACCCAGTGTCCTCCACTACTACCCCAGCTTCCACTTTCCCATAAATGGGACCTCCCTTCAGCACTTCTCAGGTCAATTCATGATGTGGTACCCTCACACAGCTGCCCTGGGGCCAGGAGAAGGTGAAACAATCACCCGCTTCTATCCAGACCCCATTTTAGATGTAGGGGGGGGGCACAGAGATCCTGAGAGGGAACTGGATCTAGCATAAGGTGTAATATGTGGACACCCCCTCTGTCAGAGGGCTCTGCCTCACCTCCTCTTCCTTCCCCTAGAGTTAGGAGATAGCCCACTTCTTACAGTCCTCCTGGCCTTCCTGCGTAAAAGCTCCCCTCTCATCCCCTGAGCTGCATTTGTCACCTAGTTGAGTTTGTCAGGATCTTAGCCCATGCAAACTCTTCAGCATCTGTGCACTCTCTGCCTGGACAGTTCTCAGGCTGGCTCCTCATGGACTCTCCTGGCTCATGACACACCACTCTCTGTCACATCACCCTGCTTTGCTGACTTCAGGATGTTATTTTTCAAATGTTTTAAGAGATTTGTTAGCATCTATTACTTATATGTGATAGCGAGTTTCAATATGACGTTTTCAAACACGTACATAATGTATCTTGATGCTATTAATCGTTTTCATATTCATTACCCTCTCTCCTTCCCCTCTCCCATACTTGCTGGTCCCCTTTCTTTCTCCAAACTCTTTTACTTTAATTTGTGTGTGAGTGTGTGTGTATGTGTGTGTGTGTGTGTGTGTATGTGTGTGTGTGAGAGAGAGAGAGAGAGAGAGAGAGACTATGTATGTATGTGTACATATGCATGTGTGTATATTTGTGTGTTTACATGCGTGTGTTCCAATATGTTTTGTTAGGGTTTCTGACAGAAGTGTAGGTGAGAAGTTACAGAGATGGGCTGGCTGTACAACTGAGGAAAACGTCTCTCCACCCCCATAACCAGTAATTGCCTAAAGTTCTTCAGGGAGCCGGCACTTGCGAGCCTCTCTGTCCTCCATGACAGGTTGTTGGCAGGCCCAAACTGTCCAGGTCTTATGTAGGTACTCAGAGCTGCTGTGAATTCAAGAATCCATTAGCTGTCCCATGCCTGGAAGACAGTTTTCGTAACACTTCACCCCACCCTTACTCTTCCTGTCTTTTCTACGGTGTCCTCTGGGCCTCGGAGGAACACAGATGTCTCATTTGCAGCTGAGCAGTCAACAGTCAGTTACTCTCAGCATTTTGACTCGTCATGAGTCTCTGCAGTTACTGCTGACTATTGCAACCAGCAGCTCCTCTGCCCAAAGCTAAGAACAACGCTGAGCTACGGGGATAAACAGAATTGTTTAGAAGGCTAATGGACAGGCATATCAGATCCATTTAGCAAAACAACAACTGCATATTCCCCACTAGGGTTAAGAACTTCCCTAGCCAGGAACTTTTGACCAACACAGTACCGTATGTGGATTCCTTCCTGTACCCTCAGTTCCAATCAGAAAGAGGACGATCACCCCATAACAGACTTGACACTATTTGCACCAATGGGAGCATCTTTCATGGCATTATTTGAAGGTTGCCTATCTACGTATTTAAGATGAACGCCTCTCTTGGCCCTGCAAATGCTAGCCCCATGGGATCAAGCGTCTGCCTTGTTCAATAATGAATCAGTCGTGCTGGATAGAAATGAATGCTCAGTAAAATGTATTCTTTTACTGCATGGCTGTATTATTCGGCTAGGAAAAGAACAATTCTGACCTCAGCATAGATGTGATGATGGCATGATTCTCAGTCACAGAAAATACTGTATGAAATACCCAGGGCAACAAAATGATTCGAGACGAAGTAGAGCCGTGTCTTCCAGGGGCTCTAAAGGGGGAGGTGGTGGGAAACTGCTATTTCCTGGGTACAGAACTTGTTTTACAGGTCAAAGGAGTTCTGGAAATTGGTTTCCTATCAGCATGAATGCAGTTAATGCCACTGATGTGTACAGTTGAAAATGTTTGGGATGGTACATTTTCCGTTCTGTATATTTGTATATTACAATTGAAAATAAATGTAGGGCTGGAGGAGGATAGCTTAGTTGTACAGTGTGTACTTCTACATATAGAAGGCCCTGGTCCAGTCCCTAGCACCTAGAACAAAACCACCAACATAGACTATTTGGATGAGAGAATGGTTCGTGAACGAATGGATAGTTCTCAACGTCCACCCTCCACTTTGGCCCAGGAATTATCAAATTCAGAGGCATCAAGGCCTCCAGAAATTATCTTATCCAAGTCTTTGAATGAACAGCTAAGGAAACTGAGGTTTGGAGAAGGGAAGGGCACACAGTAAGGCAGAATCCAGCAGGACTAGCTTTGCTGCTATGCCCACAAGATGCCTCTCTCCCTCTTAACTCACAACAGGCTGAGAGCTTCTGCATTGTCTTCTCGTGCTCTTAGGAGGTGAGATGCAAGGTCCATCTGCCAGCCCATCAGCCCCCCTGCAATGCCTCCTTTTCTTTCTGCAGAAGCCTAAGTACCAGGTGCGCTGGAAGATCATTGAGAGCTACGAAGGCAACAACTACACCTTCATCGACCCCACCCAGCTGCCCTACAATGAGAAGTGGGAGTTCCCCCGGAACAACCTGCAGTTTGGTGAGAGTGGTCTCAGCACTCTGTGATCTTCCATCCCAGGGCTGATGGGGGCTGATGGGGGCTGCAGGGACCCAGTAGGCCTCAGGAGTAAGGAGCCCGTGTGTCTGTGATAGGTAAGACGCTCGGAGCTGGCGCCTTTGGGAAGGTGGTGGAGGCCACAGCCTTTGGTCTAGGCAAAGAAGATGCCGTGCTGAAGGTGGCTGTGAAGATGCTGAAGTGTGAGTCGGAGGAGGTGCAGCATGGGGGATGGGGAGTGGGCTGGCACCGCTGTCCCAAGAGGTGCTGTCTGCACTCTCAAACTGTTGCGGGTTTTAAGTTGGGACCTGACTTCCTGACTGAGCTCCAGCCTCCTTGCGTTTCCTGGTTCTGAGGGTCTTTGTCAACCTTTGAGGAGAAATGGGCCTTCTGACTGAGCCCAAGGGAAGTTAGGGTGAACAGAAGCCACCCAGGGAATGACCCTGTCACAGCTTGGCTTCCTCCCCTCCAGATTAGCTCAGTAACAGGCGCATCCTTCCTCTCCCCCCTTTCTCCTTCTGTCTTTCTCCCTCCCTCCCATTTGAATGTCTGTATTTCTCCTCCTTCTTTTGGATTCTGATCCCTCTGGTTCTCCGGGTGCTTCTTCTCCCAGCCACGGCTCATGCTGATGAGAAGGAGGCCCTGATGTCAGAACTGAAGATCATGAGTCACCTGGGACAGCATGCGAATATAGTCAACCTCTTGGGCGCCTGCACGCATGGAGGTGAGAGCTGGGCAGGAAGGGGTATACTCATGGGTTTGGGTATCCGAGGGTGCCTGGACATCTGGCTTCAAGGTCCCCTTGAGCTCTAAGTGCCTGTAGGACTCCTGCCTCCAAATCCCTGATAGCCTGGATTCATAGACAGAGCAGGAGCTGCTCACAGGTGGGAGATGCAGAAATCTATGTACAGCCCCCACTAAGCCCACTTAATAGGGATTTTTATCATGAAGCCCCAAATCTACCTTTCTCCTCACCCTCCAAGATTTACTATCATTGTTGTCTTTTGTGTTCGTTTTGATTTCTACTTTTCAAGACAGGGTTATTCTGTGTAGTCCTGGAATGCACTTTATTGTCCAGGCTGGCCTCGAACTTACAGAGATCCACCTGCCTCTGCCTGCAGGGTGCTAGGATTAAAGGCATGCATCATGCCTGGTTTAGATCTACTTTTTAAAAAGCTCCTACCCCAGATGTACATGCCCCCAAACTCCAACTCATCTCTCTCCTCTTCATTATAGCAGCGTTGTCCTGTACTGAACTGCCATTCTCTGAAAAAAAAAAAAAACTTTTTGAGCTAAAATTTTCTTTTTTCCTTTTTTGAGACGGTCTCATTTTAATCCAGGCTGGTTTGGAATTTGCTGTGTAGCCTAAGCTGCCCCTAAACTCGCAATCTTCTTGTTTTAGCTTTGCAAGGGCCAGGATGACAAGCAAGCATCATCAGACTAGGCTAGGCTAGGCTAGGCTTTTTTGAGAGTTTTGTTAATTTTTTTAGTGGCTTTACACAAATAAGGTTATTATTTTTTTAAATATTTATTTATTATGTATACAATATTCTGTCTCTGTGTATGCCTGCAGGCCAGAAGAGGGCATCTGACCCCATTACAGATGGTTGTGAGCCACCATGTGGTTGCTGGGAATTGAACTCAGGACCTTTGGAAGAGCAGGCAATGCTCTTAACCTCTGAGCCATCTCTCCAGCCCAAATAAGGTTATTAAAACACTGAGAAGCTTGCTCCCAGAGGCAGGATTAGAACTCAGAGGCCCTTGTTCACATGGGGAGTAGAACCTTGAGGTGCATCTCTCTCACTCCCTCTTCTGGCTGCCTTAGGGCCAGTGCTGGTCATCACTGAATACTGTTGCTATGGCGACCTACTCAACTTCCTGCGACGGAAAGCTGAGGCCATGCTGGGACCCAGCCTGAGTCCTGGTCAGGATCCTGAGGGGGACTCCGGCTACAAGAACATCCACCTGGAGAAGAAATACGTGCGCAGGTATCTCCCTGGCAAAGGGCAGGACAGAAAGGAGGCCAGGACGGGAAGGGGTCCCACGCAGCCTGTTTGTGTCATGAGGAGTACCTACCCCAGTCTTTACAGGAACTCTGATTTCTTACAACACATTCCTATCATTCAACAACTTAGCCTTATCATTCTGAACACTTAGCATGCTCCAGGAATGTGGAAGGCGATGGCTTGGTTCATGAATCCATCACCTTCAAGTGTGGAAAGATTCTCCTAGGCCCTTACGTGGAGGACTTGGGGCAATTGAGTGTTCCTGTTTGTCTCACAGCATATCTGTGGGGGCTGCAGGACACATAGTCCCCTCACGAGTGGCCAACCTGTCTGCACATCCCCATGGGGAAGTGAAAACAGAGTTTATTAGTTGTTGGATGGAGGTAACAAAACAGCCTGGCCTGTGGTGAGGTTCCTGGTCCACTCAGGCCTTAGTTTCCCCTGATAAGCCAACAGTGTTGAATCTCTTGGGGTCTTCTGTGATTCTCGGAAGCCACCAGAGGTTATGGACAGAGCCACATGGGGAAGCAGAGAGAGGAAGAAACAAGTTTCCTGTTGCCCATGATGGGCAGAGAGGGAACCTGGGCTAAACCTATGTTTTTACGTTGGAGTCTCCGTTTTGAGTCATGGTGTGTGGGGGTATAAGTGCAGCAGTTCTGGGATCAGGCCATGCTCAGAACCAGGGGAGTGTACTCTGTGCTTGTAGTGAAGGCCCTGGCTGCTGGTGAGGCCGGGGGAGCCACAGGAGAAGGAGGTTCCCTAGCTTCCTTCTTTAAGTGTACAGACAATCAAAGCATCCTTAGGGTGGGACATTTCAGGAGCAAGTGGCATCTAAATGGGACCTACCTAGGGAACTCAAGTTACACTGTTACAGAAGTGTGGTTTCCAGAACGAGGAGATGCCGACTGTGCCATGGATGGATCCTAATGGAGACCCGAGTTTCTCTTCCGGGAAGGCTGAGAGTATGGGCAATAGCTTGCTGGCAAACCAGATCTGGCTGGCTGCTTAGCATCAACAGTGGCTCTTCAGGACAGGGCTGTGCTTCTACAGGTGGCTCACCACCCACAGGAAAAGCCAGGGTATCCCTGGGTGTTGCCTGTCCACCCAAGCCTACAGAGACCCAGTCTTCACAAAACAAAACAAACAAACAAACAAAAAACAACAACAAAAAACATCTCCCTGGCCAGTTTAAGCTCTGCTCTAGATTTGGGCAAATTTAATGCTATTAGTGGCTGCCAGGGGGCATGAGAAATGTTAACCCCCCCCCCCCAAGCAATTGGTTTTAAGTATGTATGTATGAATGTGTGTGTGTGTGTGTGTGTGTGTGTGTGTGTGAGTGTGTGAGTACCGTATGTTTTTCTGGTTCCCACAGAGGCTAGGATGGTGCCAGATACCCTGGAACTGGGGCTACAGGCAGCTGTGAGCCCCTGTGGTTCAGGAACCAAACCAAGATTCTCCAACTAAGCACACTGAGCCATCTCTCCAGGCCTCTTCCTGTACAATTTTTAAATTTTTATTTTTTTCTTCCTACAATTATTTGTAGTGTTGATATATAAGCTGGGTCTCTCTCCATCACATGGGTCCCTGGGATTGGGCTCAGCCTGTAAGTGCCTTTACACTGAGCCATAGTGCCACCCTCCTGGAGAAATTTTTAATGAGAAACCAGCTGGTGAGATACTGTAGGGTGAGATCAGGTCAGGGAAGGCCTGGAATGCATTCACATTCCAGCAGGGCTGTCTTTGAGGAGAGAGACGGCGGTATTAGCAGTAGCAAAGCCCAATGACAGGATGGGGTGGGTGTCTCTGGCACTGGGGATGGCTGAGCAGGGCACGATGATTGCTTAAGTAGAATATGGCATGGGGCCTTCCTTATCAGAGAGGGACACTCAGGCTGACCTTTAGGTTCCTTCCTCTCTGCTGAGTGACTCGGGGAGTCCACAGGGCAGCTGGAGGGCAATGCCTGGGCTAGGCTCTGCAGGGCTGGGCATTGATCACTTCCCAATTCTCTTTCCGATCCAGGGACAGTGGCTTCTCCAGTCAGGGCGTAGACACCTATGTGGAGATGAGGCCTGTCTCTACGTCTTCAAATGACTCCTTCTTTGAACAAGGTGCGGAGGTATCGGGCCAGGGCCAGGGTGGGCCTAGGGGCTGGGGACTGGGGCTGAGGAGGAGCAAAGTGTGACGGGGTCGCCTGGATGCCTTTTCCTAGATCTGGACAAAGAGGCCAGCCGGCCACTGGAGCTCTGGGACCTTCTCCACTTCTCCAGCCAAGTGGCTCAGGGCATGGCTTTCCTGGCTTCTAAAAATGTGAGTCTGGGTGAGGGGAGGCTGAACTTCCTTCTGACTGTGGGAAGGAAGAAGGAAAGGGGAAAGGGGGGTTCGGGGAGAAGCAGTGGGGGGTGGGAGTGTGAGAGAGTAAGTGGGCAGTTTACAGAGGAGGTGGTGGGAGGGAACGGTGCTGAGGCAGGCTCCTCCTGGAGGCCTGGCCCCGGGCCTTTGCATGCCTGTTTGGTTTTCCTACGTGACCATGAACAGGTTTAACAGCTTAACAACTGTAACAGCTGTTTTTCTTCATGAAGCACTTAGTCTTGCTGGCTGAGCTATAAGGATGTCAGAACTCAAGGGCTCATTCCGCTGCCCCCAGAGCAGACTTGAGGGGAAAAGGTTTGATTGCTGGTTCCGTTCTTTGCTGTGACAGTTCAGAGTCCATAAGCCTAAAGGTCTGTGCCTACAAAAATGGGTACTCTCACGAACTGTTTAGGTCTAATATGTTATTGTGTTATGCAAATGCTCTGGTACTGTATGTCCAGAGGTGGCAGCTGTCGGTGTTAGGAATGATGTGGGCCGGTGCTCACAGCAGAGGGACCATTGCTTCCGAGGTAGCAACCGCCCAGTTGTTACTGCTGCTGAGGGCAAGGAGTGCGGCAGACAGGGCTGTGGGGCTTTCTAAATGTTAAACTGGCCACATGAAATTCTCTCAGAGCTCAGGCCTGCACAAGTTTGAACAGGAGTAGAGAGTAGACTACCAAAACCTGTCATCTACTCCCTCATCAGGGACCCAAGAGCTCACGTTCCCCCTCCTGGCTTGTGTTTTCCTCAGTGCATCCACCGGGATGTAGCAGCTCGAAACGTACTGTTGACCAGTGGACACGTGGCCAAGATTGGGGACTTTGGGCTGGCGAGGGACATCATGAATGATTCCAACTATGTCGTCAAGGGCAATGTGAGTGCTGAGAGCTAATGTGACTGACTGGTCGGGCAGGCTGTGGAGAGCCACGGCCCCTAGTGATGTAGGACTGTCTTGTCAGGCCCGCCTGCCTGTCAAGTGGATGGCCCCAGAGAGCATCTTCGATTGCGTCTACACAGTTCAGAGTGATGTGTGGTCCTACGGAATCCTCCTCTGGGAGATTTTCTCACTTGGTGAGTTGCTACGCCTGCTTCTGGCACAGTCTAGAGCTGACCTGTCTTTGGCTACTCGACTGGTGTCTTGAGCCTTGTGGATGAAATCTATTCAAAGACGCCTGGTGTCCAAGACACAGCAAGGGCTGGCAAGGGCTTTTGAACCAGCGCAGCAGTACCGGTTTGCAATCCAGACACCCCACACAATGCACATTTCCTGAGTCCTTCCTTCACTTGCCTCTGCTTGGTTGGCAGTAGCTTTTATCTAGAATGCCACCTGCCAAATGCCATTGAAGATGTCATGCCGCTAGTCACCATCTAGCTCCCGTTTACGGGGGAGTAGGCACAGGGCCCTTGTGCTGAGTCCGTAATTGTACTACCAAGTCATGTGGCATCACCTCTTTGCTGATTTGCAATCCAGGCTTTGTTCCATCTATTTCCAAAGCCTATGCTGGACCCTCTGTGCTTGGTGATGAGGGGCTGAAGGCTATGGGTTCCCAAAGCCTAAGCGTGCTTACCGTGTAAACCTCACCTAGGAATTCCTGGGCATGCGAGTAGTTTCTGCTCTAACTACAGCTGGGATAGGGCCTTTACACACTGCCTGAGATACACGTGGGCGGGGAAGGGGTAAGCAAGGGTGGTCTCTTATACACTCCTGGCCTTTGCAGGACTGAATCCCTATCCAGGCATCCTGGTGAACAGCAAGTTCTACAAACTGGTGAAGGATGGATACCAAATGGCCCAGCCTGTATTTGCGCCAAAGAACATGTATGCAAAGGCACCTAAGGGAGGCAAATGGATTCTAGAGTTTGGGTGGTTTGTTAGATGAGCATGTGGCCCTGGTCTTTGTCCAGAAGGCTCCAGGCTTCTATCTGTAGTATATTAAGGTTCTATACTAAACTCTGAACTCAGGAGCCTCAAGCACGCTAATAGGTGCTGTACCACTGGACCATACCTCTAGCCCCTAACTTACTTCTGACTAGTTTTGGGGGTCCTTCACTAGGTATATCTCCCTAGTGATATGCCCTGACATGGGCAAACTTTGTTCTGTCTCCAGATACAGCATCATGCAGTCCTGCTGGGACCTGGAGCCTACCAAGAGACCCACCTTCCAGCAGATCTGTTTCCTCCTTCAGGAGCAGGCCCAACAGGACAGGAACGAGCAGGTGAGAAGGATGGAATGGCTGTCTGGCTGGCTAGAGCAGGCTGGGCTGTTCCTCAAAGTTCTCAGCTGACTGTCTCTGGCTTTTCTTCCCCCTCAGGACTATGCTAACCTGCCAAGCAGCAGCAGCGGCAGCGGCAGTGACAGAGGTGGCGGCGGCGGCGGCAGCAGCAGCAGCAGCAGCAGCAGCAGCGAGCCAGAGGAGAGCTCCAGTGAGCACCTGGCCTGCTGTGAGCCAGGGGATGTCGCCCAGCCCCTGCTACAGCCCAACAATTACCAGTTCTGCTAAAGTGGGGCAGTGGAGTGCTGCTGCTCCCAACTTCCCAGCTCTACCTCCTCCATAGACGGGCGACATGGGGAGAACATATGAACTTTGTCCTCAGCTTGGCCCAGCTCTGAAACTTCAGAACCTGAGGGGTCTTGGGGATGTCAGAGGCTCCCATTTCCAGAGCCTGGGCCATCACTGCCAATGGGGTTTCACAGTGCTAGCCTATATTTACTATGCCAATTCATGCACCCCTAGTTCACTATCTTCATCCTGTTCCCAACTCTCTTGTGTTTCAATGGAAAGACTGACTTTATGTCTCAGAAAGACAAGGCTCCCAAGGCTGTAGGTAAGCAGAGGGCCTGCCTCCCTGCCATGCTCAAAGACTACTGGTTTCTTGAGGCAGGATGGCTCCTTCCTAAGCTCCCAGGACTGGTCTCTACTCTTGACCTTTACTCTCTATAGTCCCACCTCATCCAGGATAATGTACTGCTAGAATGAGCCAAGTGGCAGCTAAAAGTGAGGGGTGTTCTATCTATACCCTGTTATTCTAAGCTAGAAGGCATGGGGCCTTGGTGCAAGGCTGGACACACCAAGCAACTACTGCATGCTCTTCTCCAAGTGATTTGTCCTCATTAACAGTCAACATTAAACTAACAGCATTAACACTGCCAGCAGTGTCTGGTTTTTTGTACCACACAAGTGCCTACCAGTTCCCTGGGACCTCCTTCCATCAACCCCTCACGAGAAGTGAGTAGCAAGCGCCTGCTTCCACAGCAAAAGGACACAATGAGCATTGAACTGGCTCTTGCTTCTTCAAAATCAGATAATTTAATAAACTTTATTCTTGTTGGGGAAGAGCGAGAGGGAAAGCCACCTATCCCACCCTCTCAATAAATTAAAGAGCACTCGGCCAATCCCTGGGCCCCGAGCAAACCACGGGCACCTGAGCCAGTGTTGCTGTTTGCTTATGGCCCTATCTGCTTCCCCTTCACAGAAGGGAGTTTTCCTACTGCTTGCCAGCTATGTCACAACTATGGGCCACATCCCCTCTGCGGTGAGGGTCCAAGGGCCCGGAGGATGTAGGGTACAGTAGCAATGGCCAGAGAAAGGAGGAAGGATTCTCTTCCCCAAAACCCAGGGCAGAGGACAGTCCTGGAGGGAGCTGTAACTGACTGTTCCTCGCTCCTCAGCCATCCCAAGTAGTGGGAACAGGGAGAGTTAGAGGAAAAGAGAATGCACCCCTCCTTTAGGACGAAGAGCCCAAAAGGGACCCCAAGAATGAAGAAGCCATTAAGGCTCCTAGTCAAAGGCAACAGGCTAGGAAACCCGTATGACTGGAGCCAGAGCTCTTCCCCATGGGACAGCCTAATTCAATGGCCTCCTCACCTGGTACAGGGACTACAGGTGGTGGAGGGCCTAGACAACCAGCTCCCAGCCATTCTCCTAAAATATCATGCCCCTAACATGCTCTCTCAGGTCCATTAGAGGTTTCCCAGCACCTCTCCTGAGCCCCAGAGGTTGAAGGCCCTACTGTGCTCATGAAATGGAAGCTCTTTGGTCAGTTCCAGCAGTCAGAGGCCCTCCCTACAGGGGACCATAGGTCCCCTTGATAGGTCTGCCTTGGGCAAGGGCATATTATGGCTTGAGAGAGATGGTATAGGCCCAGTACATGACAACCTGGCTTATTGTGCCCCCGAGGCTCCCTCCTCTTCCTCCCCATCCTCCTGTGCCTCTGTCTTGATCTGAGCAACCCCAAGGCGATAGAGGTTATCACGAATGACCACCTCGCCAGGCTGGCAGCTCTGCACAACGTCATGGATCTGCCGGTTGACAATTTCTCGGCTGGTGAGGAAGTCCATGAGGCGGTTGTAGAGGTAATAGTGGGTGGCATTATCAAAGGCAATGGGCCGCTGGCGGACACTGTTGAGTTTGCAGTCCATGATGGAGGCATAGGGTGCCAACTCAGGGCACAGTGATAAGGAATGGTGGCCAGCACTAGGATCACTGGGATCGGGCTTCGTGTTTGCATGGACAATACGCCGTGTGGCAGTCTTGGTGACTGGATGCTGGACAGAGTTTTCAGCCTCTGGCACATCCACAGAATAATGCTGGTCCAGTTCAGGGCAGGACACACTCTAGAGGAGAGAAGAGAAACACTTTATAAGAGGGAATGATTGCGGGAGAATCTTGTGGGAGAGAGCAGGAGCCATGGAGTCAGCAGCCTTGTTTAAATCCCAGAGCCCTTGCATACTGTCCCCTTTGCCTCCATTTCTTCTTATAGGAATGAGAACAGAAAACGGGTCATCCCAGCACAGATGCTGCATTGCTTCAGCTGTCATCATTGCTTCAGGACAATTTAGGAACCAGAGGAATGCGAGGGAGTGGCTTTGAGGGATACTTCAGACAACTTTTGGGGTCTCTATTAAGTTCTTGGAGCCCAAAAACCCCAGAGAATGAGAAGAATGTCTGCTCCAAAGCAAGCCAGAAACTTTCACCTCCCATAATGCACTTGTGCAGAAGCACTCACTTCCCGTGACTCTTCTCACCTAGCATCAACTCTAATGCGTCTTCTAATCAAGGCCGAAGGCAAGCCTTGCAGTGCACATGCCCCTCACAGGGACCACCTCCTGGTACAATGCAGCAGGATACACACACAAGGACTCTCTTACTGACCTGCTATATGACCAGATCAAGTCCGAGCCCCTCCCTGGGTCTCAGTTTCCTTTTCTAATCAAAGGAGGGGGTCAGAGAAGATTGGTGCTGAGTGCTGAACCTCAGACTCCACCGCTCTTAAAAATCTTAAAAAAAATAAAAATTAGATTTTGCTTATAGTTCTAAGACTACTGTATCTACACCTCAGCAGGAGTGCCCCACAGCATACTCATGGTGCAAGTAAACAGCGTGCTTCAGGGTGACCACACCTTCCCCAAGGTAGCAATTTCCTGGCTTCTGTGGAAAGTAAGCTCTTCTCATACAAGATGCCTGTGTAGACTACTCCAAGCACACTAAATGACACACTGTAACCTCTACTGTGGTAAGTCAGTAAATCTGACTGGTGCATTAGGATAAAGTACTGATGGAGAGAAAGAAAGGTAGAGACAGTTCCCAGGCGGGCTCTCCTGATAACTGGGGGTGGCCTTCCTGTACCCCAGGGATTTCTACCTGCTCTTAGGACGGGACTCACCACAGCTGGCTCTGTAGGGCTGGAGAAACAGCCCTGGTTCTTCCCCCACATCTGACTAGTCAGCTCTGGGTAGCAGAGGTCAGCACATAGGGCCACTGGTGTGGCCATATCTACCACATAGACAGGTGGCCAGTGGCGGGAAGAGGCAAGCAGATCCACATGGTCACGAGCACTTTCACCTCGAACAAGATACTTGGAACCGCAGACCACCTGTGGGAGACGAGTGTATAGTTCAGAGATAAGTGGCCGGCACGCAGGGGCTGGAGTAGGCCCTCACTCACTTCTTTTGAGGAAGACTAGCCTCATGACTGAAGCCAGGGACTATGACATTTGGTCCCTCTCCTCCTCCTCTTCCTCTCAAAAAGGATTACTATTGTGAATGCAGGCTTGTGCATGCCACAGCACACATAGTGAGTCTGAGGACGGATCAGTTGGTTCTCTCCTTCCACCCACACTGGATCTGGAGGTGGACTCAGGTTGGTGGGTTTGCCTAGCAAGCACCTTCAGCCACTGAGTCACTGTGTTACCCTCCCCTCCTAGTTCTATCCCTAAAGGAAGTCACCAGCTCATCCTTGTCCTGAGAACAGCTAGGACTTAAGTTAGGCTGAGAGGTGCCTCAGAACATCTTTAAACCCTGCACCATCCATATCACCCTACCAACTATCCTGGCAATGTAAACACACAAGGCTTAGGGCCACTGGACTGAGCCACGAGTATTCGGAGCAAAATTCCCATTAGACCTCAACAGGCTGTCCAAACAACAGCCTTTGCTGGAGCCGAGTAAGCACATCCACCAACACTTCCCAGTCACTCCTGTGCTGTGCAGATCTGAGCATCCTGGAGAACTCCGCCTTCACACTCACTTCTCAGTCATGTCCACATGAAGTGCTCCTTGCCACAGTCCCAACAAAGCACTTGAATCCCTTCTCAGAAGATGACGATGGGCACATTTGAACACACTCCCTCAGCAGTGTTCATCTGCCAGAGAGCAAGCTTCAAAGCCCCTGCCCCCAGCTTTGTTCAGTGCTTGGCTGCTTCACCCTCCTTTTATGGCCAGTTCAGCCTGACACTCATGTCATTATGAACTGAATCTGTTGACAATGCCCACTTAGTCCTGGTTTTCCATTCTGGTATCTTCCCAGGCCAATTCTGCCATACATGACCTATCTCGTAGCCTTTTCTATCTACCCTAGCCATCTCCTTCTAGGGCATCTGGAGTGATTTCACTGCCCTATTTCCTGTTCAACACTATCCTAAAGGCCTCTGACCATGTTCAGAATAACATGGTCACAGGAGTCACTTCTCTGGCTCTCTTCTGGGCTCTTCCTTTATCCCCAGGGCCTGGCCTTCTCTGCTGTCTCGAGATTGCAGGTGCACCCCTACTTTCTACCTCAGTTCTTCAGTTCCTCCAGAGCTAGCATCACAAGCTGTGGTAACTTTCTTTCTCCATGACAATCGGAGGTCAACTAAAGAAGAACAATATCTCTGTCTTTTATCACTGTACAACTGGGCAACTCAGGGTCAGCACGTAGTAGGGTGTTTAATATAATATATATTACTGAATGATCCAAGCTCCCTCTCCAGCCTCCCAAATGGCAATTATTCCCTGGATGTCTGAGTGCCAAAGGGATCAGCTGGATTCTCTGTAGGCAGTTCAACATTAGCAAGCTCAAGCCATGCTTCATTCACGCTCCTTTCTTACCTGATGGGGGCACACTTTGTAGATTTTACCCCCTGTGAAGTGAGTGGGGGGTGCTCTAGCTCTGGCTCCATTCTGTACAGATTCGTAGAGGGCCAATAAGGAGAAGCAGAGCTGATCCTGGAGAGAAGGAAAAGGCTAAAGGTCAGGCACAAATGCTAAGGCTCAGTATCAAACATCTCTCCAAACCCAAAGCACAGGGATCTGCTGCTAGGCCTTAGAACCTCGGCAACCCCTCCTCTAAATACAGGTAAACTTCAGGAAGACACAGGAAGCTGTCAGCCTATCTTGTCAGAGAAACATTGAAAGAGGAGGAACCACAGGAATCTGAATTTAAAAAAGCATATTTTCAATAGCACAGAAAGCAAGTAAGGTACTGCTAAAATCTACACACAGCATACAATCTACATTAACGACAGCCATTTTTGAGCCTAACACCAGTCTCTGTGTGAAATGTTCTTTACAAGAGCCTTGTAAATTTCCAGTTGTTTTGATTTTGTAAATGAGGTTAATCAAATTTAAAATCACCTAAGTCTAGTATAGGCATCACATACATGCCACCATCTAGCTCCCGCTATTTCTTTGGTTTCTTCACTTCTAGAACCCAATGCCCAGCACAGGGGCCCAATGATATGGGCTTTATCACTTGTACAGAAGAAAGATTATCCTTCCTGCTCCCAAAGCCGGTCTCCACAGCTGCTCTCGACACTCACCCTGGAGTCTTCTGGGCCAAATGGGATGCCACACTGCTCCAGGAGGTGCTGTAGTTCCTCCCCACCATA